AGACTGGGGTCTCTAAGCAGCGGTTTTCTTTGGGCCTCTGGTTCCTGTGGCACGCACCGTGCTTTCTGAATAAGTACAGTCTCTCCTCATTCTCCGGTGTGTGTTTGCTTGGGCCTCCATGACAGAGGACCACAGACGGCGTGGCCTCCCCGAGAGAAACTCGCTGCCTTCTGCTTCTGGAAGCTGCGAGCCTGGGATCCGGGCGTCGGCAGGGCCGTGCTCCCTCTGAAGGAGCTGGGAGATCCGGGCCGCCCTCCCGGCTGCTGGAGGCTCCCGGGCTGGTGGCAGAAGTCCACCTTCCACGGTGTTCCCCGTGGGTGCCTCTGTGTCCACATTCCCCATTCAGAGGGACACCAGCTGCCGTGGGTGAGGGCCCACCTACTCCAGTGTGATCTCACCTTAGCGAACTACAACGACTTGACAGGAACCTCCCTAAAATGGAGTGGGGAGGTTGGGTGGGGGGGTTCTCACGCCCTACGGTTTGAACTAGTAGTTGTAGACCCAACAGGAAGAGCCAGACCAGACCCTCCATGGACTTGACCTTGCGCGTGGACACTATTACCCCACCCGCTCCCTCGTCCCTCGACTGCTCAGCCAATGAGAAGCCGCCACACTTCTGCCAACTTCCGGTGGACCTTCAGTTTACGACAGCCCGCCCACTTACTCCTTTCCTCCGCTAAGAAGCGTGCCTCTCCTTTGTTCTCCAGAATCCCCTAGGGTTTGGCCAGAGCTCTTTGTCCCAGGTGGCAATTCTCCTTTATTCCCGAATAAACCCGTCTTTGGCTGACGGAGTAACTCGTAGATTTATTTTGCAGGTTAACACTACAAAGACCCGATTGCCAAATAAAGTCACATCCTGAGGCGCTAGGCTTAGGATCACGCCATGCGGACTTGGGAATGGGGGAAAACACAGCCCCCTAACAACGGATAGCATGCGTCTTGTTAAAATTAATTTGGTTTCGAGGGTCTGGAAAGGTTTTGTGACATTCTGGAGATTGGAAACGCCCAGGCCAGTGATCACTCCCCTAGAAGAATTAGTACTTCTCTTCGTTTTACCAAACCCTTCCAATGTATCAACTTGCCAAATGCAACGGCCTGGGATAAACCATGTGGGTCATTTAAACATGCCCATCACAGCACGGAAGCCTTATCATCTCCTCAAGCACCAGATGCCTCAGAGTCAGCCGGGGTCCTTTCTCCCGGATCCTGCCCCGTATTCACACGCACTATTTCTGATGAGAAGATGAACTTTAGACAAGTTGGGTCTTAGTTGCAGAATGGGGCCACAATCAGATTTCCCGATTCCCACTTCTGGTCTCGGGAGGATTTGGTAGCGGAGACCCACAGGCTGGATGGGCTCTCTCCCGCCCACCTCTCCTTCCTTCCAGGGCGGTGGACACACGGAGTTCTCCTGGTTTCATTTACTCAGGAGAGTGACTTTTCATGGGGGCCACGTTTCAGTGAGCTTGGTGCCAGTCCACACCTCTCATGTTGAGAGAGGACTGAGGCTGCCTCCCCTTTGACCTCACGCTTCCCTGTTGGTTCTTCCTTCCAACTGGTCTCTTGGCTTGGGGCGAGGGCCCTTGAGGGCAAAGCATCTCCTGATGGAACCCAAACTACCCCTTCGAGCATCAGGACCGAGCTGAGCCAGCAGGACCAGCCGGGATCACTGGGAGACAAGCTGCCTTTGACCTTCAGTGCCCACCTGCATAGACCCACCTGTGCCCCACGTTCTCCTCGCATACACCTGCAAGTATTTTCGGCACTTTGGAGATCGTCTTTGAGACGCCAGTCCGCCGTCTTCCCGGAGCTGGCCTCCCTGAAATCAGTCCCTTTCCTGTTTCTCCATCACTCCTTTCTCCGCCTTTGGGAACCTGGTGTGTTTGGGGCCCTGGGACCAGGTGCTCGTGGGTCCCTGCGCCCCGGCTACAATTTCACGATGATTCCGTGGCCAGGGTCTCTTGAAATACTGCTTTTAGTCCATAGGGTTGGCTTCACGAAAGACTCATTTCAGCAAGTACTCTTCAACTGCCTTCTCTTCTTGGAAACTGAGGCTTGTGGGTGGCGTTCCTGGAAATCAGCTTTTTGAGGTGGCGTTCCTGTGGAAAAAGCTGTTCGAGTTTTCTTGGGATTTAGTTGGACACGCTTCCCCCGTCACTCATGATTTCTTGAGTCCTTTATTTGAAGCTTTATCTTTTTTTTTTTAATTTTTTTTCAACGTTTATTTATTTTTGGGACAGAGAGAGACAGAGCATGAACGGGGGAGGGGCAGAGAGAGAGGAAGACACAGAATCGGAAACAGGCTCCAGGCTCTGAGCCATCAGCCCGGAGCCCGACGCGGGGCTCGAACTCACAGACCGCGAGATCGTGACCTGGCTGAAGTCGGACGCTTAACCGACTGGGCCACCCAGGCGCCCCTGAAGCTTTATCTTTTTAGGTATTTAGATAAAACCATCCTTTCCTTTCAGAAAACTTGCCTTTCTCTTCTCTAATTGTCCACGCTTCCTAATTGCAGTGTGAGCTCTTCCAGATGCGGCCAACGCTTTTCCTGGATCGGTGCGCTTTTTTTAAAGTTGTCTTTTCTATCTGACTCTGCGTTTCGGTCTCGCAGTCTGTTTCACGGTCCTCTCCGTTCTCTGTCCAGTGCGCCTGGCACCGTGTCTGGGCATGTAGTCCCAGGGAAGTGACACGCGCTGAGAAACCAGTGCCGAGGTGATTCACTGAGGTGGTTGTTCGTTTTTCGGTAATAATCTTGGGTGCTTCAGGAGGCCACGGTGCAGAGCGATTAAGCACGGAGAAGTGATTCCAGAGCTCCCAGATTATGTAAACTCTCGGATCCCTCCAGGGCCCCTGGCTCCTGTGAAGCAGCTAAATGATGTTCAGCCCCTTTATCGGTGCCACATTTGCATAGGTTAAGACGACCTCATGCTACTGTTATGAACCATAGTTTCAGCAATTCCTAAGCTATGCCTTGAATAATAGCTCTTTTGTGTTCGGTGACAGCTGATTGTGGTAAGGTTCTAGCACAGGGGCCAGAGGCTGGTCCCAAGTCACTTCTTTCCCTCCATAGTCCTTCCCTCAGATGAAAGGGCCGTGTTTCCCTTCAGTCTGCCTACCTCAGAGTGCCTGTGGAAAATTCCGGAAAGTACAAGTTTTAGGAACACCCAATGAGGAATTCAATTCCACTTCCCTCCCCACTGGTTTCAGGGGCTTCATGTTTTCAGTTCCTCAGATGAAAAGATCTTGACATCTCGTCAGCGCTATTTTTTAGGTCAACCATTTCCCTATTGTTGTTACATAAATACCATTTCATGTTATCAGTCTGTGAGCCTATTATATATTATATTATAAATGACCTTATGTTATGATGAACCCACTGGAACCCTTCACTCTACTAGCGAATGTCGACTTTGAAAACAAACAACATTATTATTTTTATTTTGAACAGACTTAATTCTCAAGATCCTCGCTGGGCTGATTTCACACAAGGAGAAAGTGACTCACAAATCAACACAGAATAGGATGGAGCCTCTTCCGTTAACTCTGGCTCTATTCTTTTAGCTCTGAATTGCAAAGTATCTGGGATTTGGGCTAGTTCGGTGTGTGTGTGTGTGTGTGTGTGTGTGTGTGTGTGTGTCTGTGTGTGTGTGTGTCTGTGTGTGTGTGTGTTTTGTCATCGAGTGGATTTCTTAGTGATTTTATAAAGACGAAAAAGACAAAGGGATTGCTAAGTTTTGGAAGCAGTAAGCCTTTTTCTTGGATGTTTTTCTCAAACATCAACGACTCCGGAAGCAACACTCTGTTGCATTAGACTTTAACACTGTTTTCCCCAAAGAGGGAAGCAAACGTGAGATGAGCATTCAGGGTCTGGGAGCTGAATGCCCTTCACTCCAGGGCAGAAATGGAGTAAGACAAGCAAGGAGGAGGAAGGAGAAGGAGCTGGGGACGGAAATGTCCCCTGGAAAGGTGTTCCCCCGGTGACCCCTGTCTAGACGCTGGGGTCCCCGTCCGCAGTTCCGGGCCTGCGCAGTGGGCGGGGGCCTTGGGGGAGTCCTTCCCTGGGAGCCCCAGGACGCTCTCATCTGTGAAACTGGGTGGTTAAGTCCACCTTAGGTGGAAGTTAAACGGGAACATGTGCGCGACGCGCCACATTCTTCCTGGAACTTGGTGAACGGCTGACACCACACTGTCTGACTTCGTCTTCCTGCCCCCAAACCCCGTTCCGACGCCCACGGATCCTGTTTACTCCCGCACCTGTCCTGTCCGCTCGGGGACCGCCGGGCCGCCGCGTGGCTGGAACCCGCTGGGGCGCCCTGTGCGGTCACGGGCCGCGCCCCGGGTGTGTGTGTGTGTGGGGGGGGGGGTCCCAGCGCTCGGGAGGGGGCAGGGCGGGCGGCCCGGAGGAATCGCGGGAGGGGGGGAGGGGACGCTGCTCGGGCCGCCGGGTCCGCAGCGGTTCCCGGAGGCGAGAATTTTCTTCAATATTCGCGCAGGAGAAGCTGCCCGTTGCATCCGGCTTCCTGCCTGGCGGCCTGGTGCCCGGCTCACGGGGCCTCCTGGGGCTGAGGGGGTGGCGGGCAAAGGAAGGGGTGCGTGTGTGTAAGGGTGTGCGTGTGCGCGCGCGCCAGTGTGTGGCGCGCCGGGAGGGAGAAGGGCAGAGCCTGCCGCAGGGCCCCCTCCGCGCCTCCCCTCTTCCCGGCGCCCGGTTGCTATGCAGTTTCTATGGCAGCGGCATCCTCAGCCCCAACTTGCACCCATCATTTAGAGCCAATTAAGGTAAAATAGTGGGGGCAGGGAAGGAGGGAGTGGCGGTGCAAGGGGGAGGGGCGAGGCCGGGAACCGATCTGAAGCTGCTGGTGCAGATCCGAGGTTGTCTGCTCTGGTCGTCGGCCCGGCCCAGCCCAGCGCAGCCCAGCACACAGCGCAGCCCCAGTCCAGCCCAGCTCAGCCCAGCCCAGCCCAGCCCAGCCCAGCACCACCTGGAGCAGCCCAGAGAAGCCCAGCCCAGCCCAGAGCAGCCCAGCCCAGAGCAGCCCAGCCCAGAGCAGCCCAGCCCAGAGCAGCCCAGCCCAGCCCAGCCGCGGAGCCCGGCCTGGGAGGGCATCAGACTCACCGCTCAGCCGTACTGCAGACCCCTGCCCACCCCCGGGACCCTCTCCCCACGGTGCCTACCTCTGCCCGGGCGCCGACTGTCTGTCCGCCCGCCTCTCCGCGCTGTTCTGTGCCTCTGCTGCTCTTTTGCCTTACCGTCAGTACTTGGTCGGAGGGAAAGGAAAGTTGTAAGAAATGCCGATCGCACAGTTGCTGGAGCTATGGAAGAAGATCGAGGTGGAGCCCATGGAAATCGAGGTGAGTCCCAGAGAGGGGGGAGTCCTGAAAAAGCCTCACTTAGGACTGAGTGCGTATTTAACAGAAGGGATGCTTATTCGCTGGGGACTACTGGGTGACAGAAGGTTGGGTGTTGAGTGCGTGTAGAGCTGTGGATGTAGAGTCCTGCAAATGCGTGTGTGTGTATACGTGCCCCCCCCCCCCCACGGGGCACTGAGTGTGGTGCAAATGTACGCGTGAGAGCTAACGTGGTGAAGAAAAAAAATCGTCACCCTTAAACCAAACTTCGGGATGCTTCTTGAAGTCTTCACAGGCTTCCCGACTCATCTGCATCAGTTTGGTTTTCCTTCAACAAGTGGCTTTACGTTGTGAGAATTCCATTTGCTGCAGTCTAGGCTGAGCCAGAAAGCCAAACTGTGGTGACTTAAGAAACGGAAGGCAGGAAGATCATGCAGTGTTAATAGCCCGTGCGTTCGAATAAAGAGGAAAGAGAGACTCCTAAATCTGGAGAACGAACTGAGGGCTGCTGGAGGGGTTGTGGGAGGGGGGGATGGGCCAAACGGGGAGGGGTGTTGGGGAATCTACTCCTGAAATCTTTGGTTCACTATATGCTAATTTGGATGTAAATTTTAAAAAATAAAAAATAAAGTTAAAAACAAAAAAACCAAAACAAATAAAGAGAAGAGATAATGAAAGGGTCTGTGGCCCCCTCCCCAGGGCTGGCTGGGAGGCAGCACCTGATACTGTTTGACTACGGGCTTCCCTAGGGACGTGGAAGCCTCTGGAAGCCTGTTCCATGGAATTCGATTTGCTTAATTTGAATTATGGATGATCAAGGTGCATTTTTCTGTGAGGCTCAACTTTCTCAAAGTTTTGAATTATTAGACGTACCTACTGAATAATGAGGTGTACCTGTACTGCTCCTAGCTACTCAAATTGCTTTTACCCATGGCAGATTACTAACTTACTAAATGTTTACAAAATGCAAGCTTTAATTTTTGCCTTATCCCCCATCTCAGCGTCAGGTCTATAAATTCTTCTCTTAAGTGTTATTTATTTTTATATTACACACTCTCTGTGGAGACATTCACGCAATTTTAAACCGAATGAGAGATTCCGTTTTAGAAGAGAATTTATTTCATATTTTATATTTAATGCTTTTTGGGGGAGCCAAGCTAACGTAATGCTTGCAGTCTGTGGATGTTCCACAGACACGGTTGGGCACGGCGTAGATATTCAGCCTATTTTTTTGATGGAACAACATTGCCGTCGCTGCTGGTGACAACTAGCTAAGCCTAGAGAGAGGACATCCCACAGCTCTTTGTGGTCATTGACTGTTCTGTTTGCACGTGATGGTGTTCTTGGCGTTGAAGACCGCGCCTTAGAAAGAGCCTCTCTCTCACTTACATTTGGGGGGCCGAGGAAGCGCAGGAGTGAGGAAGTGGAGGGGCTCGGCAGACTTCCTCGCCAGGCTCCCGACTTGGCATCCGGCCAGTGACCAGGGCTCCAGGGAGCAGCTGGTGTTATTTCTGAAATCGATTGAAATGGACCACCAATGAATATACTTGTGTTATTTTCTTTTCGGCTTATTTATTTGGAGGGAGACAGAGACAGCGTGGATGGGGGACGGGTAGAGACAGAGAGGATCCCAAGCAGGCTCCGCACTGTGAGCCCAGAGCCCGATGTGGGGTTTGAACCCATGAACCGTGAGATCACCACCTGAGATGAAATTGAGAGTCGGGTGCTTAACCGACTGAGCCACCCAGGCGCCCCTATACTCATGTTATTTAATTTTTTTTTTCAACGTTTATTTATTTTTGGGACAGAGAGAGACAGAGCATGAACGGGGGAGGGGCAGAGAGAGAGGGAGACACAGAATCGGAAACAGGCTCCAGGCTCTGAGCCACCAGCCCAGAGCCCGATGTGGGGCTCGAACTCACGGACCGCGAGATCGTGACCTGGCTGAAGTCGGACGCTTAACCGACTGCGCCACCCAGGCGCCCCTATACTCATGTTATTTAAAAAATACATCATAGGGACTCCTGGGTGGCTCAGTTAGTTGAGTGCTGACTTTGGCTCAGGTGGTGATCTCACCCTTCATGAGTTCCAGCCCCACACTGGGCTTGCTGCAGTCAGCACAGGGCCCATTTGGGATCCTCTGTCCCCCTCTCTCTCTGCCCCTCCCGGCTTGAGCTCTCTCTCCCCAAAATAAAAAAAAACAAACAAAAAAAAGGTCATAGACACCACTGCCTTGCCACCCCCTGTAGAGGGTAATTTAAAAGTCTTTGAGTTGATGCATATGCAGCAGCAAATCACAAAAATTTGATAAAATTTTCTTCCTGCTTCCCAGGTAAATGTTTTAGGATGGTTTATACCATACACAGTATGTTTGTTAAAATAGAGCGTCCAGTCCTATTTCTCTGAAACCCAGAAAATCAGAGCTTTTTCTGGAAAGATTGAACCAGAAGAATTGGTCCTGAGGTCCTCTGGGTCCTGGGGAAACCTATGACCCCCCCCACGCAGGAAAGCTGTCCACCGTGGGGGGCCCCCACACAGGGGGGGGGGGGCGCGGGGGGACCCCCCTACGTGAAATCTATCCACCATGGGACCCCCCCTCCCCCCACACATGAAATCTATCCACCGTGGGACCCCCCCACACACGTGAAATCTATCCACCGTGGAAATCGGAAGCTGGTTTTACTTCCCAGTTTGTCCATGTTTTATGTTGTATGACATTGAAATAAGTCACATACCAAGAAAATGGGCAGAACAAATGGACAAAGTGTGGCCTCTGAACTCCAAACTAAATATTACCGGATCCTTGCATGTAAAGCTCCGTGCCCTTCGTAGGAGAAGATCCGCTGTGGGTATGGTGCTTGTGACTCCATGATTCGCTTTTACACAAATTTAACGTGACTGATGACCAGTCTTCCGGTGGAAGTGACTCCCGGATTCCAGCTTTATTCTGACTTGGGTGCCGCTCTCCCCTCGCCTGGTGTTCTCATCTGTAGCCCGAGGGCCTGGCCCGGGTGGGGCTGGAGGCTGGCTGTGCCGGGGATGCTGCCGGTTTCACACAAACGTCTTGCCCCCCCCCACAGGTCAGGGGTTAGTTCATCTGGAGGTCGAGGGAAAGCATTTGCAGTTTTGTGAGTTGTTTTCACGTGTTTCGGGCCGTGTGTTTTACCAGTTAATGAGGTGTATTGACAAGGAGACGCGTGCTAATTAAAAACTGGGCCTTCCATAAAGTCCCTGGAGAATCTGGCCTTAAAAAGCAGCAGCGTGGTGGGAATCGCTTTCGCAGGCCTCCCAGTAGCTGCTTTCAGCAGGTTCAGGGTGGCCAAGGGCATGCCCTGGGGGGGTGGGTGCAGGGCAGAAAACGGGAGATAGGATTGAGTGAAGGGGGCGGAAGCCCACCCCCAGGGTCTGGCTGACCCGTGCGTTCCTTTATTGGAGTTCTTTCGAAGCAGTAAGCGTGACCTTTCTTTCCCGGACGTCATCACGCATTAAAGGAAAAGCCCCTGTTTTTGAGCAATGCAGATCAAATAGGACTCCCTGACAGGTCACGGTCCGGTCTGGCTCGTACAGTGACGTTATCTGATGGCCGCTAGGTAAGCCGCCGAGCTGGGTGTGCAGCGGGTCAGCCAGCTTGGGGGTGGGCAGCGTCTGATGCTCGTTCCCTGGACACGCTCCACATCCCTGCTGACATGTTCCCGACCTGTGAAGGGAAACTGAGGCCCACGTTAAGCGAGGCTCAGGCCCAGAGCCTCCTGATGAGGCCTCATCCTGCAGAAACACACTGCTTTATGTGTTTACGGGCCAGGAACTTCACTCTGTCTGGTTTAAGTCATTTTCTGAGCTTCAGCCGAGACTGATTTTATTCCATTCGAACAAGAGTGGTCCAAACCCCCTCCCTTTGTCACTCCTCTGTTTCCAACTTCTCTCTGTCAGTGTCTGAGCCCCATCTGAATCCACGGCCCCCGACTCGCTGGTCAGGGAGTTCCGTAAACCACCCGCTTCTCCTCTCGCCTGTGGCGTGAGCGCGGCTGACCCAGTAGCCTGGTTACTCAGATGGTTCCAATGGAGTCAGGTGGAGATGTCCTCTTGCACTAATACGGAAAGTCTAGTTTGCCCGTTGTCTCGAGGACCTGTGGGATGCTGTTTTCGAGAATGTTGTCACGCTAACTCTCTTCCGTGTATGTCTTTGTTATCAGACCCCCGAGGAGGATCTTAACCTGGACTCGGAGCCCATCGTGCAAGATACCGTGGAAGAAGTAACTATACATGTTTTATTCCAGTCTGGTTATTTGGGGGGGGGGGAATGGGGGGGGGGGGGTGGGGGGGGCAATGGAACTGTGAAATTAATAGCCCGTGAGCAGTTGTCGTGGTGAAATATGTGTCTGCACGCATACACCTGCACAAACACGTTATGTGCACGGGTGTAGGCTGTGTGTGTATTCTAGTCGATTTCCCTCAACAGGGACACACAGAACATAGGGAATGAGAAGAAAAATCACAAGCCAAGGAAAAAGTCCCAGCCGTTGGGCATGGACTTTTCCAAGGGGGAGATGATGGATTTAAAGACAGGCATGTGGGTAACGCAGCCTCTGACAACGTTTGGGGCTGCGTTTGGGACAGCAGAGCGAGGACGTGGCCGCTGTCCCCGGAGCCAGGCTGGTGGTGGCTTGTGGTGTAGGCCAGCAGCCGAGGGGGGTTCGGAGGGGAGGCTGGGAGGAGAGGTGGGGGTTGCGCAGAGGGTGATGCCCTGCGGGGGGGGGGGCGTGGAGTGGCAAAGAGCATGAGGTGTCACCGACTGTGTCAGTCTCGTTTCCATGCCGCGTGGGGCCACGTGCCTGACCCGGGCGGTGGGAAACCGGGCTCGACCCTAACGGAGCCCAGACCACAAGGGCGTCGTAGGGGACCTTGTGGTGCCAGAGCGCTGAACTGCAAAGGTGAACGGAAGCCGAGGGCAAGGAATTCTATGTAAGCAGCCGCGTGTCTGTCGCTGCGAAAGAAATGCCCTCGCGCCCTCCCAGGCAGCTGCAGCCGCGGAGAGTTGACGAGGCCATTAAGAAGCCTCAGCTTCCTGAGTGGCTCAGCGATGCTTCGCTTGGAACCATGGAAGTTGTAGAATTTGCAATTCTGCCGACTTCAAAATAGCTGGCAAGGTGCGGTAGCTGGGAGGGGTGGATCCGTGAACGTTGCCGGCTGCACAAAATCGTTTGCTCCGATGCCGAAAGCCGCGTGTCGCGTCTGTCTAAACGTGGGCGCGCCAACCCGCGTTTCAAGCCCAAGTGCCGCTTGGTGAGTGATCACGTGACACAATATGTTGGTTAAATGAAGACAAAGGGCACAAAGTTGCCTTGTCATTAGCTGGCGGCCTTTCGGTTCTGTGCTTTTTGTTCCCGCTCCGGGAGTGGGCAGCCTGGCTCTGCCCCTTCCTGGCTCTGCAGGAAGCTTCCAGCATTCTGGAGCAGAACATTCGGCCTGGTGTGTGCATTCCCTTGCACTCCCTGGGACGGGAGGTGTAGCCCTGTTTCTGCCAATTCTGCAGGGGTCAAAGGCTCACTGGACTTCTAGCCAGTGACTTCCCTGAGAGGGTGGCCGGGGGAACGGAGAGCCGCCCCTCGACGGGTGCAAATAAGGAAGGAGGGCCCTCCTTTCACGTTAACGAGGTCGAAGGCCCAGGGTCTCAGAGCAACCAAGCCGCACCTGGACTGCCACTCTTATTTACGCCTTGCTGGGCATCTGTGGGAAGTTTGATTGCCAGGAACCTTCGAAGTGTTTCTTGCAGGCAGATTCATGTAGCACGTGAGCACTGAGCAGTTACGTTCTGGAGCTCTCTACGGCACTGAGCTACAGGTGTGCGGACCGTTCCTTTGGGTAGGCTGAACTGACCCTGTGATTGTGTGATGTGCAATGCAGTTAACAATCTTTTAAATCATTAGCGATACTTGTTTCCTAAGACCTCCTAGTCTCCAGTTGCCTTACCCTTAACATTTTGGAAAGAAATGCACATGGTAACGTGATGCAGAAAAGCAGTAAAATCAATCAACCTCTTTCAAGTTATTTTTGCTGATGGAAAGTACGATACAGCAAGTTATTACCATTTCCTGATGGTAGAAAATCAATTTAACTTTGACTCTTAATAAATGAAGGAAGACAGTTCCAAATGCATTTTAGGAGTATTCTGAAGGACGTAATGTTGATACGTAGTACACCGGTGCTGTTTGTGGGAGACAGAAATTTCGGGACAATGAGCTGTTTACCCAGGCTTCTGCCAGTGCTGGGAGCCACACGCAGGGTCGGCCACACGGCAGGCGGGTGCCGATGTCCAATGCTCAGTTACAAGCAAGGACTTCCTTTCTTGTCCGCGTTGGCCTTCCGAGTGTAACTGCACAGCCTCTGTTAAGGGTTGATGGTGCAGACACGCGATGGGAATTAGAGTATAAAAGTCTCATACCTTTGGCCAGTCTGACGCGCATGATGATGGAAAATCTTATTGAGGAAAAAAAATCGAGTCAACAACAGTTCATTCAGTCAATCGATCAATCAATCAAGAATACCTATTGATGACCTGTGGTTAAAACGTGGTGCTCAGGGGCGCCTGGGTGGCTGTCGGTTGAGTCTCCGACTGCTGATTTTGGCTCAGGCCATGATTCCACGGTTCATGAGATCAAGCCCCACCTTGGGCTCTGTGCTGACTGCTCAGAGCTTGCTTGGGTTCTCTTGCTCCCTCTCTCTGCCTCTCCCCCTCTCTCGCTCTCTTTCTCAAGATAAATAAACTTGAAACCAAAACGAACATGGAATGATGACCAGGCAAGTGTGTGTGCCCTGGAGGCGTGCCGGACCCTCCAACCTTGTGATCATGCTGGCTGATACGGCTTCTTTACGTGGGAGTATTCTCCGTTTAGATACATTGAAAGCAGAGACCACGCTTGGGATATTTCATGTACAAATAAATATCTCCGTGTGTGAATCTCGCTCAGTTGTATTTCATCTCCTGCTCTGTCCAGCCTGAAGGAAGGTCTAGAATAAAGATTGCAGGTGGGCTGGAAGTTGGTGCCGGAAGCTGGGTGTTGAAGCTTCACCGCAGGGAGAGAGGCGGCTCCTTCCCCACGAAGTCGGTGTTGGTGCAGGAACTTTGTGTCAGAAGTGCAGAAGGGTGGCTGTTGGTCTCATTTCCCTTGGCACCTCCAAAGTGGGCACCCTTGAGAATTGGGGAAAAACAACAAACTCCAAAGGAAAAAAAAAACAAAACCCTTGGCAGATCCCGTTAGGAAACACTTCTTCAGCTGTATCTTTAAGGGATTATTGGAAGCGGCTGGGGACAGAGGCGACAGCTCATAGTCTTGGGAGGGCACGCTGAGAGCAGAGATGACCCATGGATGTGTCCGAGGCACCTGCTGTGTGAGGTATGTGCTCCTGTCCCCCATCTCCTTTGTGAACATTACATGTTGCAAAGCTGGGCAAAAGGTGGGCATTCAGGACCTACCGAGTTTACAGGCGACATGCTTCACTTCGGTGCACGCCGCGGAGTTGATCCAAGGTGACTAAGTCTAGGTGTCTGGGAAGCCTGTGGGGCCGGCCTCACCACCCGGGAGCCCATTCGTTAATCTCTGGGGGGAAATGGTGTGGTGTGGGGAGGCGGGAAGGAGAGGGCGCCTTCCAGGATGCAGAAGTCAGGCCCCTGGTACCGCCCAGCCCGCGACGCCCACAACCCTGCCTCATCATTCACCCTCCCGTCCCTGTATTTTATGTTCTGTTTTATTTTATTTTATTTTATTTTATTTTATTTTATTTTATTTTATTTTATTTTATTTTATTTTATTTTATTTTATTATTTATTTATTTTTTTATTTACATCCAAATTAGTTAGCCTATAGTGCAGTGATGGTTTCAGGAGTAGAACCCAGTGCTCATCCCAACAGGTGCCCTCCTCAATGCCCCTCACCCATCGAATCCCTCCCCCACCCACCTCCCCTCCAGCAACCCTCAGTTCGTTGTCTGTATCTAAGAGTCTCTTAGGTTTTGTTCCCCTCCCTGTTTTTATGTTATTTTTGCTTCCCTTCCCTTGTGTTCGTCTGTTCTGTGTCTTAAAGTCCTCATATGAGCGAAGTCCTAAGATCTTTGCTTTCTCTAATTTTGCTTAGCATAATACCCTCCAGTTCCATCCCCGTAGTTGCAAATGGCAAGATTTCGTTCTTTCTCCTCGCCGAGTAATACTCCATTGTATACAGATAACCACATCTTCTTTCCATTCATCAGCCAATGGACATCTGGGCTCTTTCCATACTTTGGCTATTGTTGATAGTGCTGCTATAAACATTGGGGTGCATGTGGCCCTTCCCGTCCCCGTATTTTAGACACAGGTGTTTTTTTTAGGCAAGTTCCTAATTTTAGAGAACAACCTGTGAAAAATATTGGAAATTGGTGTATGTAGAGTAAAACCTTGGTTCGTGAGCAGAATTCATTCCAGGAACACGCTTGTCATCCAAAGCACTCGTATATCAAAGTGAATTTCTAGAACCATTGGCTCAGTTGTGATCGTGTGACATTCAGCATCACGGACAGCTCGTATTGCAAGATGTCGCTCATTTATCAAGTTAAAGTTTATTAGAAATCTTTGCTCGTCTTGCGGAACCCTCCCAGAGCAAGTTACTCGCAATTCAAGATTTTACTGTATTTTTAAAAAGTGCCTAGAAGTCAGGATTATGTTTATTAATAAAGACCATTTTCTTGTTTGGTCAACTTTAGAAACCAGGTCCAGATAAGTTATTCTTTTTTTTTTTTTAAAGTTTATTTTGAGAGAGGCAGAGACGAGTGACTGAGGGGCAGAGAGAGAGAGAGGCTCTGCAGTGTCAGCATGGAGCCTGATGCGGGGCTCGCACTCACCAACCGTGAGATCACGACCTGAACCAAAACTGAGTCAGATGCTTAACCGACTGAGCCACCCAGGCGCCCCAGATAAGTTATGCGCAACATCAGCATGGCTTTTCTTTTCTTTTTTTTTTTTTTTTTTCCAACGTTTATTTATTTTTGGGACAGAGAGAGACAGAGCATGAACGGGGGAGGGGCAGAGAGAGAGGGAGACACAGAATCAGAAACAGGCTCCAGGCTCTGAGCCATCAGCCCAGAGCCTGACGCGGGGCTCGAACTCACGGACCGCGAGATCGTGACCTGGCTGAAGTCGGACACTTAACCGACTGCGCCACCCAGGCGCCCCCAGCATGGCTTTTCTTAATTTCCTCATGACTGCTGGGGTGTTGCCCTC